CGACGCCTTCCCCCGGCCCAAATTGTTCGTGCCGAGCAGTTTTCTGACGGCTCCGGGGCCCAGTGAGGGCCCACGGAACAGCAACATTGGCAAAAACCTCCCGTCGTATCCATTTCACGATGGGGTCTGGGTCCCGGGTTAAATCTCGACCCCCGGACATGTCCTGAGAGGTGCTCTTTGGAAAGAGCTCCGAGGGGAACTCAGAGCCGTGGCGAAAAGGAATAACAAAGAAGACCAGACCTCAAAGGTCGGCCGCCCGGCCCTCCAGATCCAACTTCGAGCACGACATGAACTTGCCATGCCTCTGAGGAGACAAGCTAGGGGGGGACTGGCTCAGGTGAGGGGAGCATCGAGCAGGAATCGGCGATCCATCGCAGATAGATCGACGATAGGCCCCCGACAGGGAAACCGCTCGTTCCTGGACGGGGCGGGGTGGTCCCAGGCCCTACTGGGGGTGAACGAGCGATTGGGGTCGTTGCGCCCCCCCCGCAGGCCTAGACCCGCGGAGCCGCGGCAACCGCGAGGGCGCTCCTCGCACGCCTGCGCCTTGGTGCAGCCCGCGCAGGCGGAGCACTGCTGCTGCACCAGGAAGAACGCTGCGCGGGTGGGGTCAGGCCGGGGCGCGCGCACGCACCTGTTCACTCCTCAATCGCTCCTCGCTCCTCCCTCCTGCTCCCTCCTGGCTGCTTCTCGCCGCTGCTGCTCTGACTCCTCCTCCTCCTCATCCTCCTCCTCCTCCTCCTCCTCCTCCTCCTCATCCAGCTCCTCCGTCTCCTCCTTCTCCTCCCCCCTTCCTCCTCCTCGCTCCTTCTCGCCCATCCTCGCCCCTCGCTCCTCCTCGTTGTCTCGACTGGCTCTCCCCAGGTTCCTCGATCCTCCCCCTCCTCCTCCTCCTCCTCCTCCTTCTCCTCCTCCTCCTCCTCCTCCTCCTCCTCCTTCTCAGTTTCCTCCTCCGCCTCTTCTCCCTCCTGCTGCTGCTGCGGCACTCTGGAGGCGGCGCGCGCGCGGCGAGGCGCCTGCGCTGCACGCGTCGGGGCGCTCGGCGAAGTCGTTCTCGGCCGTCCAGCGGACGCGCTCCTCGCGGGCTGCGCCGCACAGCTGCGATCAAACGGAGGGCCCTCGTCGCCACGGCTGGGTTCTCCTCGACAGTGTGGCCACAGGCCTGGAGAGGTCCTGGTCAGGGGGGGATTGGTACCATCCTGTTTCCCCCCAAGAGCAATGCCATCGTCTCTCGGCCGTCCACCGGACGCGCTCCTCTCGCGGGCTGCCACCGCACAGGTGTGAGACATCGGAGGGCCAGCACCAGGGCCCTCTGACCCAGCCATGTCCTCGTCGTGGAACATGCAACGCTGGAGGTGGTTATCCGTGTTCGGTCTCGGGGAGCACTCACCGGGCCGAGGAGCCATCAACAGAACGGCTCGGGGTGAAAAGCCGGCCCTGGGAAACGGGTTGCCTGGGGGCCCTGTTCTGACAAATTCAAGACGTCGCACGTCTGGCATCAGGGCCTTCTGAACCGGGACATTTCGGCGGCTCGCGCAGGGGGGGGGGGGGAGGGCAGAGGGGGCGAGCCCTCTCAGGAGGCTCAGGCGGCCTGTGGCCTTCTGGCAAGCTTTTTGAGCCTTCTCCGGGCTTCCCAGAAGGCCAGAAGGCTTCTGAGAAGCCCCGACGCCTGATGAGAAGGACGGCCCTCTCGGCCTTCCCCCCCCCAGGCGCGCCGCCTAGCATTGCGAACCATGGCTTTGAAAGGGCCACCTGGAGGGAACGAAAACTGGAAAACGATGTTTCGACCCATGGCTGCAATTTTATCGAACGCGGCAACGTCCTGGTTTTAGAGGGATCGCTGAAAGCACAGTGTTAATGTCACGCCTGTCGGACGACCCACTCAGCTTGTCAATAGTGGAGGAGTACAAGACTTCTGCAGAACAAGCAGATGATAAGCACGCGCAGTTTGAGAGACGACGCGCGTGTGCAATTGGCATTCTTCCTTCCTCCCGAAGATATCGTCGCATGATTTACTGCAGAAGAGGTGCGCACGCAAGCATGTAGTTGTTGCGCGTTCCATGGCCGCACGATCTGAGCCAGTCAGAGTAACAAATTGCGTTCACAACATGAGAACCCTCCGCCACAGAATGGCCACCAAGACCCGCAATACACCCCGAAGATCCTTCAAGAAGGCCTCCGATTGACCCATGAAAAGGCTCCAAGAGGCTGCCCCCTGGGCCGCCGCCAGGCCCCCAACAAGCCCGCCCAGCGTACGCGGAGGCAGAGGAAGACGAATCAGCAACAACTACCCGCGGGCAGCACGTCGGGAAGTGTCAAGCAACACATCCGAAATCGGAAGCTGCGCAACTCCTCTGCTGGGGGTCAGCGGAAGAAAGCCTCTTGAGGAAACAGGTGCGCGCTCACAGCTCGAGCGGTCTCTGCTATCACTGCGCCTGCGGACGCGCTCCTCGCATGTCGCCACCGTCTTGGACTGCGCCCCATCCAGGACGCAGGTGGCCTCGCGGGGCGGGAACAGAAGGATTCATGGTTCGAGGTGCTTGGGCTCTTTCGTGGGTTTTCGCAAGTTCCTCTTTGAACGCCCCCCGTGAAGAGGACTCAAGGGGGCTCGGGAGGAAACGCCCCCCTCTAACCTTCCCAAGCCCCCTCCCGAGTCGATAAAGATTTAACGACTTCTGCTGTCCCTCGAGTCGTGTCGAACTTCCACGATCTATCCAGATCTATCTGGAGGTACCTGGGTCGACCTCGATCTGTTTGAATCCACGTCGATCTACCTAGCTGCGCGTATTCATATGGTTTGATCCCCGTAAGTCAAGTGGATAAGCCCACCAGCCCTCTGAGCGCAGGTGGTCTAACGATGTCTTTCTTTCCTCCTCCACAAACCATGCTTCCCCTTCGGGGAGGGCTTCTCTCCTCCCCCATACCCCCTCCCCTGGACCTGGACGAGAGGGGTCGCGATTCGTGGGAGCGTCCAATATCGGCCCCTGGGAGGGCCAATTTCTGACACCCCATCACGAGGATCGTGGCCCCAGAGGGGGGGGGGTGGGCGTCGATCGGGGCCCTCCCTCCTTTGATCGATAGCCTCGAAGATGGCCCCAAGTGGCGCTCCAGGGTTTCCAAGAGAGCCCCACAAGAGCCCCAACAGGGCTCCAAGACGGTCCCAAAAAAGGCCCCAAGAGGCCTCCGAGAGGCCCCCAAGAGGCCCCCGAGCGGCCTCAGAGAGCCCAAGATGACCTCCAAGATGGCTCCGATAACCCAAGCTGGCTCAAAAGTGCCCCCCAGATGCTCCAAACAGCCCCTAACACCGCTCTAAGAGCGCCCAAGAGCGCCCCAAGAAACCCCCAAGAAACCGTTTGCTGGCTCCTGATGGGGGGATCTGACTTGGAGATCCCCCCCATCCTGCAATCAATGGCCTCCAAGATGATCCCAAGAAGCCTTCCAGGGTGACCAAGAAGGTTCCAAGAGGGCCATGTAAATTCCCAAAGAGCACCAGCAACAGCCACACGAATACCTCTAGATGGTTTCATGAATCCTCGTCCGCGTCGTCCTCATCCTACTCTGTGTCCCTCAATAGTTCTGGGGGTACCTGTAGTCCGGGGTGGGTATCTGTGGTCCGGGGGGGGGGGCAGTAGTCGGGGGGGGTGTTTGTAGTCCGGGGAAGGGGAGCCTGTAGTCCGGGTGGGGGTACCTGTAGTCCGGGGGTGGGGCCGCGCGGGGATACCTGTAGTCCTGGGGGGCGCGCGTGTTAACCGTCGAAGCACGCGTGGCTCCACGCGCACGGGTTTCGGCGCGCGGGTGTCTGCGCGCGCGCGGGACTGCACGCGCATCGTTGCACGCGTCACGCGCACGCGCACGCGCGCTGACACGCGCGAACACACACGCTGCTGCAAGTAGGGAGGGCATGCGCAAATATGAGGGAGGGCGATAATTTGCCAGATCTTGCTTGATTGCGCTGTCTGCTTCGGTCATAGCCAAGCAAGCGCACGACGGATGCGAAACCCGAGCGCCGACTCAGCTGGCCTCTAAGTGCCTCGTCACTTCAGGAATGCTGCTGAACATTTTCCCGTTTGGAGAATGGTAATCCGCTAACGTGCCTCTGAGAACCGAACGGGCGGCCGCTTTGGCTCCCAGGGGATAGTGAATTGACGGGGTCCTGTAGCTTCGGAGAGGATTTGTAGCGCCTAACGGGGGTACCTGTAGTCCGGGGGGGGGTACCTGTACTCCGGGGAGGGGTACCTGTAGTCCGAAGGGGGGTACCTGTAGTCCGGGGGGGGTACTTGAAGTCCGGGGGGGTGTACGGAAGGGGTACCTGTAGTCTGGGGGGCATCAGTAGTCCTCTTCCTCCTCGTCCTCGTCCTCATCCACGTCATCGTTCGTTATCATCGACCTCCTCGTCCTCCTCGTCCTCCTCGTCCTCGTCCTCGTCCTCGTCCTCCTCCCCTCGCCCCCACGCGGCGCCCAGGGATGGCCAGAAGAGACCTTCTAAGACCACCCCCTGGCTCGCTTTGTTTCCCTAGATGTGTCTCTTCGTCCCTTTTTCCCGTCAGCTCTGAAAGACAGGGTTTCTGAATGGGCTGTTTGGGGGTAGTTTTGTTGTCCGCGAGCGATACGGTGCAACCGCACGCCGTCAAAGAGCGAAGCCACAGCGCAATGATCTAAATTAGGCACCACGCGCGCAGGAGCGAAATACGTTGCGACTCAGAAGGCGAAGAGGACGCTAAGGATCAGGTCCACGTGGGAGGCCAATGCCAACAAAGAAAACCAGGAGGTGTTCCGGGTCCGCGTGCAGCGCCAAAATGGCGAAGTAGGTCGAGCCCTGGTTCCTGAGACCACCACCGCGTAGTCGAGGGGGACGATGACCACCGTCACGTAGACGAGGAGGGCGAACCGTGCAGGCGCTCAACGGAAGACTCCGGATCGCCGAGGGGGGGCCGTGAGACCGAGAGCGCGATGAAGGCGGACGTCCGTGCGAGGGGGGGACGCGACGGCGGGGGCCGTGGCGATGGAGCAAGGACGGCACCAAACAGAGCACCGACAGCGAGGCGGCGTGACGCCAGGAATCATACCCGACGTGAGCGCTGGTGGGGATTTTTTTTTACAGCCGCAGGCGGAAGCGCCGGCGGCGAGCAGTCACGGTCGGGCTGCGGCCGCGACTAAATTCCCGGGCGCGCGCGGGGGCCGCGGATCAGGCGGCGGGGAGGGCAGCAACCCAGGGCGTCTGAGAGGCCAGGCGGTCGTGCAAACTGCAACCCAAGGGGTCTGATGAGGGGTCAGTCACCCGAGGCAGTCGTGCAAGCTGCAACCCAGGGAGTCTGAGGGGTCAGTCACCCAGGAGCAAACCAGGCGCGGCCAAAACGGCGCGCAGTACGTTCCCAGTCGTGGTCGTGCCGAGACAATCGCGTGGTGGTGGGAACCGAACTCCGTGCGAGAAAGTCAGTCCAGAAGGTCTGACGGGTATGAGCAGACCGAAACTGGTTGACGTCGTCCAGCAAGGAGGGGGATTCTGACAGCGCAAGCGAACCGTCGCAGCTTCAGAAAACGCATCCGCGGCAGATAGGGTGAGCCTGAGGCAACTGGTGGGGATACGCGAAGCGTGAAGAGTAATCGTCAAGCCTTTGAGTAGGGGCACAGACATGGCACAGACATCCGAAGGCCACTTCTGGACCCCAAGGCCACCAAGCAATGGCCGCTTGGCCCCAGGGGCGTGGTCGAGAGGTCGGTGTGGGGGCCCACGTCTCATCAACCGTCGAGCCGCCGGATCCCTAGGGGCCTTGGGGTGGGAGTGATGGGAGCGGATGGTGGGCACGGGGAGAGGTGTTGGCGGCGCGCACAACGGGGCAGGGTGAGGGGGAAAGGGTTCTGAGAAGGAGGCGGCTGCTTCTAAGAAGCCTTCCCCCCTCCGATGGTGCGGGAGGTAAGATTCGTCAGCATCGGATGGGGTCGCACCAGCATGGAGTTGGGGTCGGAGTCGGATCGGCCGCGAAAGGATGCACAACAACGCCACGCGAGCATAGTGCCCCACTGGATCGTCGGAATTATGGGATCGAATCAGACTAATATTAAAAAGCAACTGTTCTGGAAGCCCTGAACCCAAAGACGGTGACACCTCGCTTCTACTTCTGGCGCTTCTCGCCGGCCTCCTGCCGGCGAAGCCTGGCGGTGTAGCCGCCGCCGTTCCACTTCCGCCGCCTTCCGCCAGCCTTCCGCCAGAGGGGATGCCGAAAGGCGAGGCCCGCTCTGGAACGCCCTGCATTCACGATCTGGAGCTTTTGTTTAGCGCGTCGTGGCAGCGGTCCTGGCGACACGCTACACATTGCAACTGGATAGCGTGCCGCTCTGCTCCGCGGGAAGGGAGGTCGGGAAAGGCTCGCGACGTTGACGCCTAGAGCGACACGATAAGCCAAGGTTCCCGCTCAGCCTCGGGGCCTCTTGGGACCTGGCGGGAGAGGAGGGCGGGGAATGGCGGGAAGAAGTGGCGTTTTCAATTCAGATTCGGGCAAGTGTGCTCGCGTGGCACTCCCGCCCTTCCACCCCACCCCCTCCGCCGCCATTTTCGACAGCGGTGGGCCGAAGAGGCGTGCAAGTGAGTCCCGCCTTGCGTGAAGTGCAGATTCCTGTTCAGGCCTCGCCACGCCCCCCTCCCCCCTCCGCCCCCCCCCACCTCCATGCAAGTGAATTTGCCAGAATCTAAAGAACAACAAGGCGTCTAACTTCGCGCTTCGCGCTGCGCGAAGCGCGAACAACTGCCGCTCTCGCACCGCCTGCCAGGGGAGAAGAAGAGGATGGGGAGGAAGCGGAGCCGAACCGCGAAGCGCGAATAACTTCGCGCCCGAATGCAAGTGAACTTGCCAGAATTCAATAAATCATCCCAGTGCGACCCTACCTAGGAGTTGGAGCCCCTAGGAAAGCAGCATTAGTAGCAACAGTAAAGCTAAGCTAAAGCTAAGCTAAAGCTAAGCTAAAGCTAAGCTAAAGCTTAGCTACAGCTAAGCTAAAGCTAAGCTAAATCTAAGCTAAAGCTAAGCTAAAGCTAAACTAACGCTAAGCTAAAGCTAAGCTAAAGCGAAGCTGAAGCTAAGCTGAAGCTAAGCTAAATCTAAGCTAAAACTAAGCTAAATCTAAGCTAAAGCTGAGCTGAAGCTAAGCTAAAGCTAAGCTCAAGCTAAGCTAAAGCTAAAGTTAAAGCTAAGCTAAAGCTAAGCTTAAGCTAAACTTAAGCTAAGCTCAAGCTAAGCTAAAGCTAACGTTAAAGTTAAAACTAAAGCTCCCAAGGGACTGGGGGAACCGCTCCCAGAATGCCGGGGGAACCGCCCGGGGCGGGTTACACTGCCCGCCCCTTTAAGCACATAGAGTAAGAACCCTTCTAGGCAGAGCCTAGGTAGGGAACAACTGCCTCAAGGTGGGAGGGTCGAGGGAGGTGGGGGGGGAGGTTGTGGGCCGCGCTTGGCCTTTTCTGGGCTTCTGAAGGCCTCTGGCGACCTCCAGAAGCTTCGGGAACCT